GCTTTATATACAGCGAGGATCAGCTCAATTTGATACAATACAACCGCAGTACAAATAATAATATTTCATATATATTCTCATACACATAAACACACAAGCTTGCATCGAAAGACAATTGCCAACCCGGTAGTCAAAATTTTAAAATCCCGGATATATGGGAAGGATATCATTCGTTAACAAAGAATTGAAGCAAACATGTACATGAACCATAATTACAAGTGCATTACTGTCGTACTGTTTACCCTTTGTAATATACTTTTATAACACTGTTTGTAGTTGCAATGCTGATGCCAGATGAATTCATACTATCAATGCCAATTTCAAAGATAGAAGACGATCCTGTGAAGCCTTCCAACAGTATTTGTTCGGCTGAAGACGCTGTTCTCGGAAAAACATGGACAGCAATCGTGAAGTCGGTGCTATGTAAGTCAAAACGAGGTATTTCGGCATAGCTTGTTCCATTGAAGGATACTGCAGGCTTACTGTCTTTAGTTTCAAATTGGGCTGCTCCTATAAGACTTGAAAAACAAGCAATAAGAGAATTTTGAAAAAATAGTTAGACCTTCACCACAGAAAAATAAACATTTAATTTGAAAAGCTAATATTTGTTTAAGAAAAAATGCGATTTACTTTATGTCGATCGCGCGGGAACTTGCGCATGGCTCGGTTTGCCGAGGTAGAGGCTCATGACTAAAGCATTCGAGGCCAGAACGTATGTGAGTAGAGTTGCTAATTGGTTCTCTCCTGGGCTTCGAGGGTTTTCCGGCGGGTTCACCGGTTTTCATCCCTCCGCAAAAATCAACTTCTAAATTCCAATTGGAATTCAGTGGATGAAGAGCCACTCTGTGGAAATGCCACATTTATTAATGTTCGGAGAAAAATCCTATCCTCAAAGCACAGAAAAGAACCAAGAACCGCAGCACATCTACTCGCGTGATGTGTGGTTCAGGGATCGAAACTACCAAGCAAGTGGTGAGAGACGGGGTATAACAACGCCCATTACCCATGTGTTCCAGTTCACTTGGTACTCAATCAAAGAAGCTAGCGGATAGAACTTCACTTWAAAAAATGTGAAAGATTATTGTTACAAATTGACCGATGCTAAAGTCAGGAATGTTAAATTTCGACGTATATTTTGACAAGCATATTTAAAAGTTTATTTAAAAGTCACCTTAAACCAGCATCTGTTCCATTAAATTTCAAATGAGGATACAATCCGCTGGTATTGCTCTCATTTGTTATGTTGAGATCTAGAGACAACACGTACACGAAAAAATAGTAAAACCATTTAATCGTCAACATCATCATCATCGTTGTAGTCATCATCATCATCACCGTCATAGCCGTCGTCTTCATCACTATCTTCATCATCACCATCATCCTTAGCATTAAAATCATAATCACTACCACCACTGACCATCACAACCACCATCGTCACCATCATTTCCTTCCATATCTCTGTTACATCATGACCAGTTGACTACCATTCACATCACATCAACTACCATCGTCACGTCCATCATTACATTCTATATCTCAGTTACAAGACCCGTTGGCTACCATTCACATCACTTCGACTACATCGTACCATCGTCACCATCATTACCTTCTATATGGCTCATTTTCTTCCATATCTCTTTTTCTTTCATATCTCTTTTTCTTTATAAACTATTTTTTATTTCAAGCCACACTTCTACAGCAATCATCATATGTACGGAGAAAAGTTTCTTGGTTATTCTCACTCTACAAAAATAAACTCCAATCCCGATTCGTCTCCATCATGGAACGAGAGCCACAAGTTTCAGTAGCCACTGGTTATTAAAGTAATCTTCTTAAAAACAAGAACGATTCCAACTGTACACACCTCCATCAAAGTAACTTACCATGCAACATGGTTTTAAAGACAAACTCGTTCTCAGTCTCGCTGGAAAATGAAGCTAAATCACCGCCGAGTTCCTGGCAATGTTTTCGTGCACCATCCCAGTTTGTTGTATTGATAAAGTACTTGTACGAGGACGAGTTGAACTTGTACCAGTTGTCTGGTAACGCTAGAAATATATAGGCGACAAATGACATGAATTTTCACTAGATCTAATCATCTATGTAATATTTCAAACACGGAAATGAAGATGGTAGAAGTAGGCATTTAAGACTTTGAAAAGTTTCCATTCTCTTTGACGAAAGATAAAATCACAATTAGATTTATAGATGCTTAATTCCTATATATTTAAAATGTCACTTCTTTATCTCTTTCTGTCTATTGCCCATTCATTCATCCATCCATCCATTCATTCATTCATTCATAATTCCTATATATTTAAAATGTCACTTCTTTATCTCTTTCTGTCTATTGCCCATTCATTCATCCATCCATCCATTCTCTCTCTCTTCCTTTTTTTCGTTTGCTGTTCGTCATTCTTTTCTAACGAAATTTGGTACTACTCTTCTCAGTAGACCGAGACAGCTGGAATTTTTTAATCGCCTTCGTAGCGTCTGTTATGTTATCCAGAAGTACATTTAAATCGACCACGTGATGCCAATGTGATACCACGTGGACAAGTTTTTACTCCACGTGATTAAAACTTGACTGAATTTTGTTTGAATCACGTGGTGTAAAAAATTTGCCCATGTGGTACAACATTGGCATCACGTGGCCTATTTGAAATGTACTTCTGGATAACATAAAAGACGCTACGAACGCGAAAAAAAAAGCACAACTGCCTTGGTCTACTGGGAAGAGTAGTATAATTACCTTCTTTTGTAGGACAGTCATCCTTCAAACAAAATTCACCCTTCTGTTTGAGACAATGTTTTAAGAATAATTTTGAATTAGCACATAGGCTGCGTTGAGAACTAAAAGGATCACCCTGTAGGGGATTGTCTCCCGGTTCAACAGCCTATCCCAATTATAATAAGGCATAATACTAATCTACTAACAATTCACACTCATGATTGTAAGCTGCACGRCTGCCATGGCGCCTTAATACGCAGCCCGTAAAGTCATTCACTGGTTATAAATGTAAAGCGCATTGAGATATTTGAAATGCGCTATAGAAATACTCCATTATTATTATCATCATCATCATTATCATCACCATCACCACCATCACCACCACCATCACTATCACCATCATCATCACCATCATCATCACCACCACCATCACCGTCAGCACCATCACCACCACCACCATCATCATCACCATCACCATCATCATCACCACCACCATCACCATCACCACCACCATCATCATCATTATTATTATTATTATGATCAGTGGCTCCTTGCGTTATCCTTATACAAGTTGAAAAATGGTTCAGAGGGATATGGAAAATAAACGAAAATGATTTAAAAAATTAAAGGTAAAAAATAAACTGAAATTGCAATTTCATCACGAGGAGCAGATAGTGAGATAAGTGCCAAATATGAAAATTATTTTACAGCATTATCATGGACACCAAAATATGGAGATTTGAAAGTCTCTTCTGATTATTCATATCGTACCGACTTACCAATGGCTCGGAGTAGTCATATCCTACTCTTTTGGAATACGATTTTGGACTTTGCTTTTTGGTTGAACGATTTAAGTCACACAGGTTATTACCGTGTTGATCTTTGTACGTGTTGATGGAAAAACAACTCAATGTTTCTTTGCATGTCTCCATGCAATCTGCTTTAAACAGTGGTAGAGACTTGATCACGTGACCGTCCAAAGCGTGGCCGGGCTCTATATCAAAAACTCCGAAATTTTTGAAGAAGGAGTTGTTTGCTTGAGCTGATGGCATGGCAACTGCCAAAACGATTAACACTTGACACCACATGTCGAGTCGTACCAGGATGTGGTCTTGATGTAATAGAAAAACAGAATTTAATCATTTTGAAATGGAGCAGATGCGAGATGTAGTATGTCAATCAACTTCACTTCACTTCACTTCACTTTTACTTTAAGTTACTTTATTTACACTAAGAACATGTAACTAGCTAAAAACTAGTGTGAGCTGCGTCGGTGTTTCTAATGAAACAGTAATGATGAAAAGGTAAATTATACACCTTGAAAATATGAAAAAACTTACTGACGTTTCGGACGCTAGTCCTTCATCGGAGTAGAAGAGCTCTCTTACTCCGACGAAGGACTAGCGTGCGAAACGTCAGTAAGTTTTTTCATCTTTTTCACGGTGTATAATTTACCTTTTTACCATTACTTATTTACACTAAGTTATATCTGTGACTCTTATAATACGTTAATCTGTGACTCAGGCGATACTTAGAAGATGTACATTGTATGAGATTTTATTATAATGTGGAGATTGTGAGATTTTATTATAATGTGGAGATTGCGAGATTTTATTATAATGTAGAGATTGTTATGCCAAGAAAACTTAATTACGTTAAGGGAGATCATTGCTTTACCGAAATCTAATCAAAAACACGGCTGGAATTTTCTTGCGACGATACAAAACAAATAAAGAAAAATATCCTGTTGAGGGTTTGAATATTACCAATTTTTTAAAGTAAAAAAAGGCGAATAACTAAACTTCCCGGG